CCACCGCGCCCGGCCATGAGTGGGGTTCTCAAATGGTGGGACCTGCATTAGCAAAAACGTGGCAGCAGGAAAGTTCAGGTCTCGTTTAGGGAACTGCCAGCCATCTCCCAGAAGGTCCATAAGTGGCAATGAGGCTAGGCTGAGAGCAGGAGTCCGGGGTGTAGGGTCAGAGGCACAGCATTGAGCCTGTGAGTGAGAGACAGAGGGCACGGGTGATGCCCGCCTGTAGGAGATATGATACGCAGGAGTCAAGAGGATGAGGCCAGCTTTGGCCCATCTGTTGGCCTCTGGCCACAGCCCCATTAATGTGTGTCAGTGGTTCTTTAAATCTTAAAGGGGAGGTGCCAACCTATGCCCCTCTGGGTCCCAGTTCCAGCATCTGGCCTTTCCAAGTCAGGCCTTCCCTCAACTCTTGTCTCACAGGAGATGTCTGACCCATGGGGCCGGAGGGGACTCCTCACTGGCCACCCCCATCCCTCATGCCCATTGTGTGCAGTGGGAGGTGGTCTGACCTGGCCCGGCCCTTGGGAGCTCCCAAAGTCCTGGTCTTCCTCGAGGAGAGGCCAGACATGAGGGTATTGAAAGAGGAATTTGAGGCCGGGTACCGTGGCTCATGCCTGTAATCCCAGCGCTTTGGGAGGCAAAGGCGGGCAGATCACGAGGTCAGGAGATCGAGACCATCCTGGCCAACATGGTGAAATCCTGTCTCTACTAAAATACAAAAAATTAGCTGGGCATGGTGGTACAGGCCTGTAGTCCCAGCTACTCAGGACGCTGAGGCAGGGGAATCATCTGAACCCCGGAGGCGGAGGTCTCAGTGAGCCGAGATCGTGCCACTGCACTCCAGCCTGGCGACAGAGCATGACTCTGTCTCAAAAAAAAAAAAAAAGAGGAATTTGAGTTAGACATGAGGAAGCACTGAAATTCCCATGAGGCCTGGCATGAGGAAGCTCCGCTGCTGCTGAGGCTGGATTTCTCCACTCTCCTGCCTTTGCCTGTCCCGTCAGCTCAGCACTCTCTATGTGCCTGGCCTGCCCATGGGCTCTTACAGTGTGTATGAAAGCCTTTTGCAAGGTGGCATTGAGGCTCTCTGCAGATTGCTGTCAAAAAGAGGGGAGCTGTGTGTTTCCTTAGATTCCTTTCTAGAAGCCCTGCAGCTCCCAGGTCACACAGGGCTGGGCTTTCTCCCATTTTACATACAAGGACACAAACAATGGCCCCATGGGTGTGACTGGCCCCGAGGCACACAGCAAGTTGGTGGCCAAGCTCGGAAAAAAAGTTTTGGGTTAGACAACCCTGGGTCCTAGACCAGACCCTTTAGGAGCCTCAACTCTGACCCTCAGTTTCCTCATCTGTAAAGCGGGGAGGGTCATGGTCCCTGCCTCCCGGGGCTGTTGGGAGGATCCGGTGAGTCAATGCACATAAAGTGCTTTAAGTGCCGGGCACAGAAACACTTGGTAGATATGAGCTGTTGTTATTAGTCAGTGTACCCCGGGTGTATTTTCTGGGCCCAGCTCTGTATGAGGGGGAGACATGGGAAACCAGCAGCTGTGACGGGGTGAGTGGGGGTTGGAGCTGTGATGGGAGAGGCCATGGGAGCAGCATCTGCCCAGGCTGGGGATCAGAGGAGGCTTCCGGAGACATGGAAGTCAGGGAGGGCGGTGGGAAGAGTGTGGGGGCCCCGGCAGGGGGTCTCTGGAGGAAGTAGGGCTGGGCTGGGTCATGGAGGTCACGTTGGTACCAGGCAGCCCAAGATGGAGGCTGACTCCAGGCTGAGAAAGCTATTTTGGGAACTGAAAGTCGGTCACTGTGGCCAGGGGGCGGTGTCTAGGCGTGGCTCAGGGTGGTAGGAACATTGAGGCTGAAGCTGCCTGAGGCTTTGGCATGAGGCTGGGGGACTGAGCAGAGGTGTGAAACAGTGACACCTAAAAGGTGGGGGGAGTGTCAGAGAGGCCTCGTTTCAGCTTGAGTCAGCAGGCAGGCCATGATGGTGGCTGGTGGGAAGCCACCACTGCCCCAGGCCAGAGAGGATGGCCCCTGAGCCAGGGATGTCCAGGGCTGCCTCTTGGAGAGGTACAGGTGGGAGTGGACATGGGTGGCTCAACCACTGTCCCTGCCCCATGACCCTGACACAGGTCAGATGACCCAAACTTGGGGGGCCAGGTCAGGAGCAGTTGAGGGGCCAGGCTGTCAGCTGAGCCGCAAGTTGGGGACCCCCAGCACTAACAGTCCCAGCAAGTCACTAGGGGCGGGTAGGCACATGGGGTCAGCCCTGCCCTTCCAGGCTAAAATTCGGAGATCCAGCCAGCCTGACTTGTCCTGTGTGTGTGAGCGTGCAGCAGCCGCTCCTGGGTGCGGGAACTGAAAATGCAGCAGGGCACCCCGTTTTGGCCAGGATGTGGAGGTGCTGGCTCGGGAGGGTCCGGGTCTGGGAAGCCCTGAGGGCAGAAGGGGAGGGAGCCTGGGTGGGGCCTCTGCAGGAGGCAGGGCTGGGCTGGATCACACGGATGGGGCCATATCGGGTGAGTGCAATGGTCACTGCATGGGGCCCTGGCCATGATGGGAAGCCAGCACTAGCTGACAGAAGTCAGAAGTGGCCTGAGGGAGTTCCATGGAGGAGGAGTTGAGGCTGGGCGTGGTGGCTCACACCTGTCATCCTAGCACTTTGGGAGGCTGAAGTGGGCGGATCACCTGAGGTCAGGAGTTCGAGCCCAGCCCGGCCAACATGGTGAAGCTCCGTCTCTACTGAAAATACAAAAATCCCCGTGGCAGGTGGCTACTTGGGAAGCTGAGGCAGGAGAATCACCTGAACCAGGAGGTGGAGGTTGCAGTGAGCCATGACCCTGCCACTGCACTCCAGCCAGGGTTACAGAGCGAGACTCCGTCTCAAAAAAAAATCAAAAAAAAAAAAAAAAAAAAGAGAGTGGGGAGGAGAGGCCTGGGCTGGGCCCTTCAAAGGCTCTCACCCTGTGAGGCCGGAGCTCAGCCCAGCCCCAGGAGGGGAATTGGGAGGCTCGGAGCCTGGGCGTGGATGGGCCCAGGGCCACAGGGCCAGGAAGGATGAAGGCCGTGGCCTTTGCTTGAGGAGGCATTTTCCCTGGAAGGAGGTGGGCCCAGGGATTCTGTGCATGCAGGACTAGAGGACGGGCAGGGTCGGGCAAGGGCTGGGGTCAAGGACCCCTCCTCCCCTCTGTGTGAGTGGCTCTGGCTGGCCCCAGGCCCAGGCTGGCGGGAAACCCCTCCCAGCCCTCACTGGCCCCTTCTTCCACAGGAAGGCCCAGCCCCTGACCCCAGCTCTGCCCTGGGCCCACCCACAGCTGCAGCCTCTCAACAGCCCCCTGGTGAGTAGCAGGAGTGGTGACCATCTCAGTTCAGGCTGTTCACAAAGCCTGGACTGGGGACTTCCTGGGGATGGGTGGTGGTTAGGGGGTGCCTTATCATCATCTCTGTCTGCAGGTGGGAGTCCCCTCTCGGAGGAGCCACCCCCAAGCCCAGGGGAGGAGGCTGGGCTGGTAAGGAGGGCTAAGTGGGAGGAGCTAATGGTTGAGCACCTCCTATTCAGGGCCTGGGCTGAGTCCACCCTGTTCTCTGCCTTTTCCACCCCAGCAACGGTTCCAGGACACAAGTCAGTATGTGTGTGCAGAGCTGCAGGCCCTGGAACAGGAGCAGAGGCAGATAGATGGGCGGGCGTCTGAGGTGGAGACGCAGCTGAGGAGCCTTATGGAGTCAGGTGGGGCATGCATCTGGGGGTCCCTTCCCCAACACGTCACTAGGTCTGCCGGGCCCTGCAGCTGTTCCTGACCTTGGGAGGAGCTGGGAAGAGGCACGGCTGGCGTCAGCGTTCCCATTTTACAGCCAGGCATGCTGAGGCCCTGAAGTGGCTTCCTTGAGGCACCCAGTTCTGGCTTCTGGGATGTCACAAGGGAGCAAACCCCCTCCCCCATCCCCCAGCTGCCCTACACTGATACTGGGGGCAGGGGGCAGGCCTGTTGACTGTCCCTGTCCAATGCAGGTGCCAACAAGCTGCAGGAGGAGGTGCTGATCCAGGAGTGGTTCACCCTGGTCAACAAGAAGAACGCTCTTATCCGGAGGCAGGACCAGCTGCAGCTGCTGTGAGTGCTGGCCCCGGGCCAGGAGAGCAGAGGGACTCTCAGCTACTTTGGTTAGGGTTCTTCACTACTTTCTTCTTCCTACAGAGATCTTTTTGACAAATGATTCCTCCTCCATCTGACTGTTTTTGTCCTAACCAATTTGCTGCTTAAAGTGTAATACTGGCTGGGTGCAGTGGCTCCCGCCTGTAATCCCAGTACTTGGGGAGGCCGAGGCAGGCAGATCACCTGAGGTCAGGAGTTCAAGACCAGCCAACATGGTGAAACCCCATCTCTACTAAAAATACAAAAATTAGCCAAGTGTGGTGGCATGTGCCTGTAATCCCGGTAACTTGGAAGGCTGAGGCAGGAGAATCGCTTGAACCCGGGGGGTGGAGGTTGCAGTGAGCCGAGATCAGACCATTGCACTGGGCAACAGAGCGAGACTCTGCCTCAAAAAATAAAAATTAAAAAAAAATTAAGGATAAAACTCTTAAATTAGAACTATTTTTACTAATAAGAAAACCCGCTGGGTGCGGTGGCTCATGCCTGTAATCCCATCACTTTGGGAGGCCGAGGCGGGCAGATCACAAGGTCAGGAGATGGAGACCATCTGACTAACACAGTGAAACCCCGTCTTTACTAAAAATACAAAACATAAGCCCGGTGTGGTGGCGGGTGCCTGTAGTCCCAGCTAATGGGAAGGCTGAGGCAGGAGAATGGCGTGAACCCTCCCGGGGTTCAGAGACTGTAGTGAGCCGAGATCGGGCCACTGCACTCCAGCGTGGGCAACAGAGGGAGACTCCGTCTCAAAAAAAAAAGAAAGAAAAGAAAAAGAAAACCGAGGCCCAGGAAGTTGAGGGCTGAATTCCCCAGTGTGACCCTGTTCCTTTACAGTAAGGAAAACAGAAGCCCAGAGAGATATGATCTGGTTCCCATGTGGGGTCCAAAGCCACTCTGCGGCCATTGCCTTTGTCATCCTGCTGGGTGGGGACGGCTTTGCCTCCCTTTTGCGTTTGGGATCATTTTTAAGAGTAACTGTAGCCAATACTTCCTGTTTATGAGTGTTTATGCAAATAATCCTTCAGGGGTCCTTCGGGGTGGGGGGGCAACATAAACACCCAGCAATTGGAGAAAACAGAAGAAAAGAGATAATGTGGTCTGGAGACTGGAGGATAGCTCTGCGGTCAGCCCTGCCCTCCCTGGGAACTGCTGGGGAGGTGGGATGGGGTCAGGGAGTGGCCAGAGCCCTGGGCACTCTCTCCCTATGCCGCTTTTCCTGACCTGCCACCCCCCTGCACCGTCCAGCATCGAGGAGCAGGACTTGGAGCGAAGGTTTGAGCTGCTGAGCCGCGAGCTGCGGGCCATGCTGGCCATCGAAGGTGGGACATGGGCTCAGGGGGCAGGAGGCAGGACAGAGCCAGGGTAGAGGCGGCACAGCGCCGGGCCCGCGCCTCCTGACGCTTAGCCGCTTCGACCCTCAGACTGGAAGAAAACGTCCGCACAGCAGCACCGAGAGCAGCTCCTGCTGGAGGAGCTGGTGTCGCTGGTGAACCAGCGTGACGAGCTGGTCCGGGACCTGGACCACAAGGAGCGGATGTGAGTGGCGCTAGGCGGCGCTGGGAGTTGGGAGGGTCCAGGACATGCTCCCGCAGAGGGTTGGTGTGGACCCCGCCCAACGCTGCACTGACTCGAACCCATTCCCCCCAGCGCCCTGGAGGAGGACGAGCGCCTGGAACGCGGCCTGGAACAGCGGCGCCGCAAGCTGAGCCGGCAGTTGAGCCGGCGGGAACGCTGCGTGCTGAGCTGAGGCCACCGGCCTGGGTGGTCCATAATTTCTCGCGCCCCCGGCGTCCGCCGCTGCCCTGGGCCTGCGCTGCGGAGGACCCGGCTGTCCCGGATACCGCACGCGTGTCCGCTAGGGGCCGCCGGCGCGCTTCCCGGGACGGGGCAGGGCGGATCCTCGACCCCACGGGCGGGGCGGCCGCCGTATTTATTTGTCACCGAGTGTGTGTGTGCGCTCGCGGCGGTGCGGGGTCCTCCCCGACGGCACGGCCGGGCCGGCAGCCTCGGGGAGAGGGATGCCTGGGCACTGCCGCCCCTCGCCGGCTTGCCCTCCTGTTCTCCAGAGCAATAAAGTTGGACGAGGCTACCCCAGCGCCCGGCCTTTTCTCCGCTCCACCTGCGCTCTCAATAGGCGGAGGAGAGTGGGCCGAGGCTGAGGAGGGCGGCTCTGCCATCCTAAGCCGGTTGGTGCGGCTTCGAGGTTCCCAGGGCCAGCGGAGGCTGGACCTCGGCCTTCCCCAGATGGTGGCCGGGGGCTCAGGGAAGTCCCATTAGAAATACTTGAAAACAGTCGAAATGGTTGCTCATTTTATGATTAACACAGTATTCCCCGAGGCCTCCCGCCCACCCCCACCGCGGCCCCATCTCCTGATTCTTCCCCAACCACTCTTGGCTGCTTCCTCCTTAGGTGCCTGCCACCTTATGGGAGCTGAACTCGGTCACCTGACGCTTCAGCAAGCAGGGGCTTGTCCTGAAGCTGGGGCCGCGGGGGGCAGGGTGCTCAGAGCCAGTTCATCCTGCCCTAGGATGCCACCTTGGTTCTCAGCAGTCACAGGACTACTGGGCCTGAAGAACTTCCCCGTGGCACGGACCTGTGGCAGCTCAGAGAAGGTCTCCACGGCCAGCAGCATGGCCAAGAGTCCTAGAAGCAAGTAACCTGGGGAGGAGAAGGTGCTGGGGCAGCGCCTGGGTGCTGGTGATACTCCCTGCCCATCTCCCAACACGGTGACCTGCCCTGGCAGCTGGCGCCACTCACCACCTCCCAGAGCTCTTCAACTACCCCTCCCACATCGTGCCCAGGAGTGGGGTCCCTCCACCTGCAAGGCCCAGTCCCCCCAATGATTTATGGGAGTCCTAGTCCAGGCTCCTCTTCCCCCTTCCCCCACACGCTCTTAGGTGGCTGGACTTACCAAGAAGTGCGAGCTGGCCCAGGTGGTAAATCACAGGGTGCAGGCCGCGGCCGTGGCCGGGCAGCAGGTCCCCCAGGCCAATGGTGCTGAGCGAGCTGAAGCAGAAGTAGACGGCCCCCAGCAGGCTGCAGTCACCCTGAAGGCCCCACAGCACCAGCGCTAGCAGCAGCACAAAGCTGCTGGCCACCAGCAGGCCCAGTGCAACTGCCCGCAGCAGCGCAGCCCTGGCCGGCGACAGCTGCCAGTGGACCTACCCAGGCACCTGGGCGGCTGAGCGCAGGCAGCAGGCAGTGGCGCAGGGTGGCCACGAGCGCCAGGGAGGCTGGCAGCCCCAGGGCTGCATAGACCATGCAGAAGGCCTTTCCGCCTGGTGATAGTGGGGCCATGTGGCCATAACCGGGAGAAGAGACAGTCAGTGGACAGTGAGAGCTCTGAGTGCCATGTCTGCTGGGGTCCCTGCCTACCCCAATACCGCCTTCTGCAGAAGGCTGCCCTCTGGTGGCCTTGAACTGGCCAGGTCCAGGTTCTAGCTGACTCTGCTCCTCCTTGGTCAGGGGATCCCTTACCCTCTCTGGGCCATTTTTCTTTTTTGGGAAATGAAAGGATGAAAGAAGACAGTTCCTCAAGCCTTTTGTAGCTGGGACAATTCTGAGAACTGCACTACCCTTAACAGATACTCCTGATTCCACAGCTGGTGGAATATCATCCACTCTTTCCCCAAATGTGTGTCAAGTCCTGTGTGCCAGGCTTTGTGCTGGTATCTGAGTCAGCCCAGGCCCTGCCAGCTCTGGTGGGGGAGTTGGGCAGGAAAATCACGAAGGGCTGCAAAGAGGCAGCATGGAGGAGAGAGGGCATGTGCCAGGTGGGGAGGGGTGGGAGCGTGGGGTGTGCTGGGAGAACAGCATCAGCTAATACAGAGCTGCAAACGCACATGCCTATTGGAGCCAGTGCGAGACAAACAGGAGTGGTGGGGACAGGGGTGCACTGCAGAGTGTGAGCTGTTTCCAAAGGGCAGGCCCCATTCTGCTCCTGTCAGGATGTTGCCTTGCAGGGATTCTGGCTCAGTGTGAGTAGGTTTCCTGATTTTCCAAAAGAAGTTGGAAATACAGGCTGGGCACAGTAGCTCACACCCGTAATCCCAGCACTTTGGGAGGTTGAGGTGGGTGGATCGCTTGAGGTCAGGAGTTTGAGACCAGCCTGGCCAACATGGCAAAACCCCGTCTCCACTAGAAATACAAAAATTAGCCGGGCATGATGGTGCACGTCTGTAATCCCAGCTACTCAGGAGGCTGAGGCAGAAGAACCCAGGAGGTGGAGGTTGCAGTGAGCCGAGATCGCACCACTGCACTCCAGCCTGGGTGACAGGGCCAGACTCTGTTTCAAAAAAAAAAAAAAAAAAAAAGTTGGAAATACAAGTTCCAATTCAAAAAATACTGAGACACTTTGTGGGGCAAAAAATACGAAAACCCAGGGCTGTGGGTCCTGTTGCTGCTTTTCCCTGGGCACGATTTCTCTGCAGAACTCCCTCATCCCTGTCTGTGCCCTCCTGCTCTGCGAGCATCTCATGCCAGCTTCCTCCTCTATCTTCCCTCACTCCTCCACCTGAGGCCATGGTCCTGATCTGTCCTTCCCAGGTTCCTTCTATTTGCTTCCATCTAAGAATCCATTCCAGTGTCTTGTCTCCCCTACCTGGCCACAGGCTGTGGCATCTGGGCAGCTCTCCTGGGTCTCAAAGGGTGCCTGGGGTGGGACTGGGGAGGCCACACCCTTCCTGGCAGCTGAAGTGGAGGCACCAGTTGGGGTGTGTTGGTGGGGAGCCCCAGCTGTGATGTCGGGCCTCACAGCGCCTGGGCTCCGTCTGGCTCTTTGGTGCTGAAGGAAGGGCTGCATGAACCCCAGGGACCCCAGGGAGCGATGGCCTCAAGAGCTGTGCCCCCTGACTTGGCTGCCAGGCTCTCTTACCTGTGGTGGTGAGGATGCTGGCAGTGAAGAGCAGGGCTGAGGGAAGGTCCCAGTTCCTGGCCTCTGAACTGTTGCCCAGGCTGGAGACCCTATGGGCCTGGGTGGCCAGGGCAGTGCCCAGCAGCTCTTCCAGTGCTCCAGGTGGCAGGCAGGCCCTATGCTCTGCCTGGAATGCTGCCAGCTCTGCCCTGAGCTCAGCCTGAAGCCTGCATGCAGGAGGCCCCTCCAGGGCCTGGAACAACACAGCCCCAAGCCCCAGGGTCAGTAAGTGGGCCACAACCAGGAGCCCATATCAGGCCCAGGGCCTTAGACACCCCATGGCAGGCTGCTGGGGTGCTGTGGGAGCTGGCGGCTCCACCTCAGGCACCTGGGAACGGCTGGGCAGGGCTGGGCCAGGAGGAGGTGCTCTGTGGGTAGCTGGGACCTGGCTGGGGTGGCTGGGGTGTGAACAGAGGGAGGTGAGCTGCCTCACCCCTCCCAGGTTCTGGAGGCAAGACATTTGCCCATTTCACAGCAGCTGGGACGGTGGGGATGGGTGGAGGAAGGTGGCTGCAGTGAGGGGAGGAGGCAGAGGAAGCTGAGGCCTAGACAGGACCTCACACTTATTCAAGGTCCTGCTCACTCAGGCACCCATACTGCATTCATTCATTCATTCATTCAGCAAGTGCTTAGGGAAGAGGACAGGCACAGGTCCTTTCCTTCCTGGTGTTTACACAAGAAACCTCTTAGCAAAGAAACTGGCAACCTCTCATTGTCATGAGTTCCATGAAGGAAATGCCCTGGGTGATGGGAGAGCCTGTAGGGAGCGGGGGTTATCTCACTGGGAAAGCTCCGCTAAGGAGGTGACATTTCAGCTGGGGAGTAAGAGGCCGGTGAAGGTAGGAATGAGCTTGGGGTGTGAGAGGAACAGAGGGCTGGCTGTGGCAGGGGAGAGTTGGGGGTGAAGGGGGGATAAGGACACATGACAAACGTGGTCCAGGGAGACCTACGCTGGGCTACTGTAGGCGTCCTGGATGGTGATTTTGGCCTGGGTAGTATGGTGGGAGAGGAATGGTGGCAGCTGGGAAGGATCAGGTGAGGGCAGGGGTAGGAGGTAGGGAGAGGACTCCAGGGTGCCCAGAGTACCCGGGCAGATGATACCCTTGAGCCTGATTGCCAGTTCTTCCCGAGAACCCTTTGTGCCTGCCCTCCTGACTCCCTGCCCCTGAACTATACAGTCTGGCTGCCATGGGGCACCTGGGAGAGGGCAAGCGGGGCCTGGGTTCCAACTCCTCTAACCTCAGAGGGGCTGAGGACAGAGGCCAAGGGACCCTGCCCTTGGATATGGTGTGGGAGTGCCAGAGCCCCCATGGCATTGTGAAGAGAACTGTCAGGGGTGCCAGATGCCATGGCAAGTCACGATGCTTGGAGGTGGGTGGAAGTTACTACTTTTTATCTTTTTTGAGACAGTCTTGCTTTGTCGCCCAGGCTGGAGTGCAGTGGCACTTGGTTAACTCAACCTTCGCCTCCTGGGTTCAAGCTATTCTCCTGCCTCAGCCTCCCAAGTAGCTGGGACTACAGGCACCTGCCACCACGCTGAGCATTTTTTTTTTTTTTTTTTTTAAGTGGAGACGGGGTTTCACCATATTGGCCAGGCTGGTCTCGAAATCCTGACCTTGTGATCCATCCGCCTCGGCCTCCCAAAGTGCTGGGATTACAGGCATGAGTCACCGCGCCCAGCCTACACTTTTTTTTTTTTTTTGAGATGGAGTCTTGCTCTGTTGCCCAGGCTGGAGTGCAGTGGCGTGATTTTGGCTCACTGCAATCTCTACCTTCCAGGTTCAAGCAATTCTCCTGCCTCAGCCTCCAGAGTAGCTGGGACTACAGGCATGCACCCCCATACCTGGCTAATTTTTGTATTTTTAGTAGAGATGGGGTTTCACTATGTTGCCAGGTTGGTCTTGAACTCCTGACCTGTGATCCACCGGCCTTGGCCTCCCAAAGTGCTGTGATTACAGGAGTGAGCCACCACACCTGGCAGAGAAAAGCCTTGAATGACTCACCAAGGCTGGTGGATCTGGTCCCAGGAGAGGGATGCCGTGCAAGGCAAGGAACTGCCTATTGCTGGGGCATCAGGGCATCAGGACACCAGGGTTGCATGATAGGTTGGGTCACCTGGTTACCTCCAAGAAAGGTGACAGGCTACATGTGGGGAGACAGCTTTTAAGTTTATTTGGCTTCTGGCTTCATTGGATCCCGAGGCTAATACTCCAACCCTGGCTGGGGCAGCAGGAAGGCACCCAGAGAGCCCTGGCCCCAGATGACCCCCAGGGCAGGAGGCCCATGCTCTAAGCCCTAGGGCAGGGGCCGCAGTAGCAGGACTTGGTCAAAAGTGCTGGTGACAGCTGAGGCCGGCCCCTCTTCCCTGCACCTCCCCTCCTCCCTGCATCACCCCTGCGGGCAATTCCCTGAGACAGGCTCTGGTCCTCCCAACCAGCTGGGTACAGTGTCGGGCCCCAGTAGGGCAGGTGAGCTGGGAGGTTTCAGGTATGGGGGCGCAGGCCCCCCATCCAGTGTGAAGGCTTCCTGTGCAGTGTAGTGTTCCTGACCCCCAAAGCGGGGGTGGGGTCCCTGGGGAAACTGAGGCAGCTACAGAGGCTGGCCCAGCTCCTGTTCCAGTGTATGCTGTGACTCCTCTAAGGCAGCTGGAGCTCGGGGAGTGGCCTGGCCCACTCAAGGTCCCGCCTCCGGCACCCAAGGGGCCTGGGCACCCATGTCTTTGGTCTGTGCCCTGCAGTCCTGGGGGCCTCCCCGGAAGGGGTTGGCAGGTGGGGAGTCCCAGAAGGGGTCTGAGTCTGGGAACAAGGTCCAGGGTGCCCGGCGGGGTGCAGGCTGTGGCGAAGGCAGGGGAGAAGGCCGTGGCCCAGCCGACACAAAGCTCCAGGGATCGATGCGGCTGCGAAGGGGTGAGGGCCGAGGTCGGCTGATGAGGCCCAGGGGTGGTGAACGTGGGGTGCCTGGGGTGCCAGGAGCAGAGCGTGATGTCCCGGGTGGGGGTGAGACAGTGCCTCCTGTGAGATATAGGAGGGGCACAAGGTCAGGCAACCAACAACTCCTGAGGTCCCCAAGATACACTGCCCTGCTCTGGGCCTCAGTTTCCCCATCTGCACAGTGAGCTACTTGACTCAACTTCTACGGCCCTTCCTGCTCTGCGTGCCTCTGTTTTTTCGTAATGGTTAGGAGTGAGGCCTCTGGAGCAGGCCGGCCTGGATGTGGATCCCGGCCCTGCCGCTTACCAGCTGTGGGAGCTCTGGGTCCCTTCATCTCTGTGCCTTACATTTCCTTATCTAAAAATGGGCATCTAAGAGCACTTAGTTCTGTGGTTGTTATGACTGAATGAGACCATCTCGGGAAAGCCTTGTAAAGAGTACCTGACACAAGTAAGGAACCAAGAGTTTGCTACTATTATGACTACATATATGCTCCGTCACCCAGGCTGGAGTGCAGTGTCATGATCACGGCTCACTGCAGCCTCAACCTTTCAAGGCTCACGTGATCCTCCCAAAGTGCTGGGATCACAGGCGTGCACCACTGCCTGGCCTTGATTACTTCTGTTATTTCACAGCAGGCATTGCCCCCACCTGCCTGGACCACCTGATAGCTGAATTTAGAACTCTGCTCCCTACATGGTCTTCAGTATCCCAAGCGCCTGGTTCAGGGTCCAGTAGATGACTGTGGTCTTGGCCTTGCCTCCTTGCATGTCCCCAGCCACCCCTCCCTCCCTGGGGACCCCCATCTCCCATCCGTGAAGCAGGCCGGCCTCAGGCCACTCACCGCGGGGCTCCTCCTCACGTCGGGGGCTCTTGGCTGACCGCTGGCCTGCAGGAATACCCAGGTCCAGCAACAGGGGTGCAGGAGTGGGCGGGGAGTCGGGCGTCTTGGGTGAGAAGCGAATGAGCGGGGAAGGGGGCGGCTCGGTCGGGCAGGGCGCGGGCATTGGCGTTGGGGGTGTTGTGGGGGGATCCCCACGCTCACGTCCTTGGCCTCCCGGTGGCTGCAGGTCGCGGCCGAGGCCCAGGGAGGCAAGCAGGGCGGTGCCACGCAGTAGCGCACGCTGGATCAGCTTGGGCGTCCCAGAGCTGCTACCGCGCTCTGCGGGGAGAGGCCTCTTGGGTTCCTCGGGCTCCAGGCTAGGCCGTAGGGGGTTACCTGCGGGGCGGAGGCGGCACAGGTGACGACACGGCTGATGCATCTTCCGGATGAGGGCCCAGGACCTCTCTGCGGTCTTGGAACTGAGTTCTGCCCTCTACCAGCATCTTCCCTGGTCCCACAGGTCCCACGGCCTCCCTACCATGCACCCACACTCCGGCCTTTCACAAGATGGGTGCTGGGAGGGGAGGGTAATGCAGGCGGAGGAAGTGACAGCAAAGCCTGACGGCAGCCAGTGACCCAAAGATGGATGGGCAGTCCCAGTGGAGGCAGGGCTGAGGCCAGGTCACGGTGGGCCTCCATGGCCTGCCAGGGGCAACATCCAGGTCCAGGGCCATGGCAGGTACCACTGACTGGGACCGGCGCCCTGTGCTCTGTGCCCACCTGCTTCCTGGCTTGGCAGCCCTGCCCCTTCTGCGCACCCACCCCCACTCCAGCTGTAGCTTGTAAGATGCACACAGTCAACTCTAACGTACATGGCCGCCTTGAGGAGCACAAATCCCTGTCCCTATTCTAGAAAGGAGGAAAATAAGGTTCAGAGGGGTCAATACCTTGCCCAAGGTCACAGCTAATTTACAGAGTAGGTATTTGTGCCAGGCCTGAGCTGAATAACATAGGGGCATTATGTTGTCTGATCCTCATGCCCGGGGGTTCCAGGCTTAGAGGTTGAGGGCTTGCGCAGAGCTGTACAGCCAGTGAAAGGTGGAGCTGGCTTCACCCCAGGCAAGGGCAGTAGAGCCTTTGCTCTCCACCATTTCCCAACCAGACTCTGCCCTAGATTTCAAGACACTAGTGTCCCACTTTCCAGTCTCGGGTTGGCCTGGCTCCATTCTAGATCACTTGGGCAGGGATAGGGAAACCGCTCATTAAGGAGAAGGGCCTCTAGGATGGGCTCTCACAAGCACTGATTTTGGCTCTAGTATCTGCTATGGCTCTAGAAGAAAGTCTGGCCTCCTCCCTCTGCCTTTCCCCTCCTGCCTGGAGTGCAAAAGCAGGTTGGATGTCGGGAGGAAGAAATACAAGGCTGGGAAAAGTGAGCTTCTACTATGAACCAGGACTCAGCTGACAGTCCCTTCTGTCAGCCACAACCCTTACTCAGACTCTCTGCCTCTTACCTCACCCAACTCCCAC